ATGAAAATACAAGATCAAATTCAGATACGTATTTTGTAGGCAAATTTTTAGTTTGTATATCTAAAACGTCAAATTCGAGTCGTTTCTCCTTAATGTATTTTTTCTTTGCATAATCAATCATACTTTCTGATATATCTGTACCTATAGATAAAAAATTATTAAATGAACTTTACAATATATAATTTTTAAGTAATAATTATAAGTAATTTATGTTAATATGTTGCTATATATTATATTTTGTATAGATTATTGTTTTTTACCAATTACTACTGCATTTGGATCAAGAGCCGGTAAGATTATGTCTTTTGTTACATCTCCAGGTCCACATCCTATGTCAATGCATTTTCCAGATACATTTTTTAGATATTCATTAAATTCGTCAGTGATTGCAATTGCTTTTTCTCTTTGCGATGTGTTACTTGCAATATATTTTAATGAATTATAAGATTTGATTACGTCATTATTATTATTAATGTTCAGCATTATTAAGAACAAGAATATACTTCAAAAATACTGGAGATATCTGTGACACCAAATATATTAAAAATAAAATTAAATTCTTACAAATTTATACAATATTTGTATTATATATATGTACACTGTTGTTTTTTTAGATGTAAATTTTAATTAATGTAATTATACCAAAAAACATATCTATATATATGTATATTATAACTTTACATGATGTTTTAACTTTATATAAATACTGTACATGATGTTTTAGAAGAAGTGAGCGTTATTTCAGAACTAATTTAAGACCATGATGGAATTAGACAAAGTATTGTATTCTCGAAGACGCGCAATAAGTAAAATAATGGTGTCTACGCCCTAAATGCAACTGTAACATTTGATAATTCGATTTTATTTTTTCGAGTTTTTATATATTTGACATATCACATTAAAACATATATATTTGATATATTTTACATATTTGACATATTTGACATCTTAAAAAAATGAAAGTCATGTTAACATTTAGGGACGATTTTTGATTGATCCTCCATATTATGCGCAATAAAATCTTGTTTAATTCCACCAAGATTTAAAACTAGTAAGATTACAAAAATAACAGAAAGTTTATATGAACATTTTTATCATCCAATCTTTAGCCAAGTTACAGAAAATGACTGTAACGTTTTCGTGTTTTATTAATTTTATTTTTTCAATTTACAAAATAAACTAGTATTATTAATTTTATTTTTTCAATTTACAAAATAAACTAGTACAACACATTTCTATTTTGTGAGTAGTAAGCAACTTAAAACGATCTAAATATCTGAAATAGAATTAGCTAGATTTATACAGTTTTTAATAAATATGAATGAAACACGAAACAACTCTAAAGCAAGATTAATGATATCAATGCCCCCTCTCCCTGATGACATAAACGGCTAAGGTTTACAAAAAAACAT